ATATAAATTCTATTTCCAAGTTTAAGCGTGTAATAAATAAGGCTCCAGCCCTGCGAAACGGTGCCGTTTTACTAGTAAATAAATACCATTAGTGGGATTAATAGAACAACGAAGTTTAAAGTCAGATGCCTGTAGATTTACTAAAAATAGATTTTATATCCAACATGACTAAAGCTCGCTGCTGTGTAGGGTGAGGGGTACAGGGTTCTTGGGCATGCCCTTTTATTTGACATATATTAAGTGAAGATGCCTTCTGATTGGTCAATATTATAATATTAACTGCTTCTACAAAATAATATTGGTATGAAAATTTCCTGTGCCCCTCACCCTACTGCTGTGGATCCGATAGATACAAAAAACCTGAAAATCAAGTTTTGTTTGATTTTGTCAAGAATTAGATAAGTGCTGGGGTAATTGATCGTGTCGGGGAAATAATTGTGTTGGGGTAATTTTGTATATCTCTAAAAAAGTTACGTATCTGAAATTTTCCGAACAGAAGTTTCATTTTCAAAATTACAAAAAAATCGAAAAGTTCGTCAGATATATGTTGTACCCAGATTGGAATTTTCCGGATTCAGAATCATGACAGTCCCGGATGAGAATATTGTAATTTTTATTTACCAAAAGTAAATTTTTTATATTCTAAAAATCCAAACCTAACCCTAAAATCCTTCTTTCAATTAATATTAATTTTTGCATGCAATTTAATGATTAAGTAAATTATTCACCCAAATTATTTATTATATTAATTGTAATCGAATAAAAAACTACATAATATTATTTCCAATAAAATGTATTTTTTATCCATGGTTTTTTTGCATTCTCAAGCCCTTTTAGATCTTTGACCATTTGTTCGATCGATTTAAATTTGATTCGATATTTAGCCTTTTTTTTTTGCTGATAAAGTGAGACAACTTGAAATAAAGCATTTGCATATATAAAACCTTGTTAATATTTTTTTGTATAGCATTAAAATTATTAAATAATAAATGGTATTTATATATACTCTGAACATTTTTAATAAGATTATTTGCAATAGAACATTCGAATAAATTGTTTTTTCTTTTTTAACACAACACTTAAATAATACATCACCCTTGAAAGTATAGAATTTCCTTTTGTATTAAAAATTTTTATTAATTTGCCCTTGCCGTTCTAAGCATTTATTACAACAACCTTTTTCCATATGAAAAGTACTACGTATATATTTCGTCCTAATTATCTTACGAAAACATTAATGTGTCTCTTCACAATCATTTATTACGTCTCTTTTAGTCTTATTTTGCATGCGATACCTCCGTGTTAAGGCATTAAAACAATTGTGGCATTACGGCGGCACTACATTGCTATTTACGGTTTTTTGCGACAATTAACTATATTAATTTGAAAATTAATTACATGTCTGCTATAGACATACTTACGGACCATTGTTTAAAATTCAGGAGAAAAAAGTAAATAAAATTTGCACAAATATGTATATATACTTCTTTATTAAAAATTTTGCTTGCATATTTGCATGCAAAATACTAGCACATTAAAAAATTCTTGCACATGTACATCTTGTGCAACCAATTTAAACACTACTATGGGCTTGAAATTTTATTTTCTTGTTATTGTTGTCCGTACGCAAGTTGTAATAAATTATATATATATATTTATATATATATTTATTTACTAATTCATTTTCATATGGAGGTTCAGTGAGTATTCCTGTTATTATTAGAAATTTCACCTGAAATTTTTAATCAATATAATTATAAAAAAAACAATAGTTTTAGTGTTCTAAGCTGATTAAGTTAGTCACTTAGCCAGCCGCTTAGCCACTTAGCTGCTGATGGTCTGATCAGCCGGTTAATGATATTAATTAAAGCTGTATAATTAAAAGTTTATATAGTATCATCAAACCAAACTTAAATATCTGTTATACGTCGAATTAAAATTTGCATCAGATCAAAAATAATTATAATGCCACTAATACATACCTTAATTAAGCTCAGTATTGAAATTTTTGATGTATAACATTTATAAGTTTCGGTAACACGTCTCTATTCAATTCAAGAATTTTGTCATATATTATATTTACTAGATATAGACTAGAGATTGTACCCGTCAAAAAAATCTCTATCCGGGTATATAATATATAATAAAAATGTACAATCTCAAATATAGGCATCCCATGATTCAATATGACATATTATTGGCTAAGCCGCTAAGCCATTAAAAATCTAATGGCTTAGCTTAGTCGTAAAAATTTAATCGGCTTGGATCACTATACGTATCATCAACTTTACTTGACTCTTGTATAACCTTTTTTGGATTTGTATACTCACCACCCAAATTCAAACCCATGAATCTAATTCCAAATTCCAAATCCTTCCATTAAAATCCCAAAGTCAAAAAATGAAACAAATCTCAATTTAGGTATCAAACCCCAAAATAAATCTCAAATTATAGGTACCAAACCCCAAATTAACATAAATTATTTCAAATTAGATATTTGTAAATTTTTGAGATCTAGGTTTGAATCTGCAGGTTTTTGAAACTAAGCAATTTTGAATCTACATAGAGTATATCTATTAAATAATATCTATTAAAATTTATTATAATAACAATATTCTGATTAGTTGACTACTTTTACATAATAATATACAGAAATGAAATGTTATAGATATGTAGTATTTAAAATATGTTATTTTGTTTGGTTAATATATAAATACAGTAACTAGAAGAAATTATTTTTATTAGATAAAGAAAAATTTTAAAACTGGTTTCAAGTTTTATGAAAGTTTTTTACACACTAGACCCTATCATAAGCATGTTCTCTTACTCAAAAAAATGCCAAAGATTCCTGTTCCTTGAACATATTCAGAACATTGATAGAATTTGTAATCAGTTTATTTTTTATATGTTAAGACCGGGTTAAGTCTTGACAATATGAAACTGGTTTCAAACTCCAGACATTGATTTCAGGAATGCTTCGTTCAAGTTTCCAATATACAGTATACTGTATATTGCTGAAGTTTTTGATGCAAAATTTTCTAGTCAAAAAGAATTCGGATACTTTTCGCGGTGTATATACAGTAAGTTCTAAAATATCGTATTGGAGTTGTCAAAATACGGGTTTACATGGGATAATTTCTATTCTCAGTTAACAACAATAATACCCCATAATTTAATTCTTTACCAAATTGGGAGTTCTCTAGTATTTATGTATTTGTTTCATCTCAATTCTGGTAATTATAACAGATTCTGTCATTTGTCTGTGGATCTGTTACACAATAATTAATTAAAAGTTGCCGTTACTGAATGTTCGCATGTAAAACGTAGACGAAAAATTCATTCAATTCTCTCCTTTAGAAACTTGGATTGTCTTTAAGTATGGAGCATAACTTGAAGTCTTTAGTCTTAAAGTTAGGGCTTGTCTTCTCTGCCGTTATTAAAATCACAAATGCGGCCGGTGGTTGGTATTAAGACTCCTATTTTAACGATCTGTTTCTTAAAACCTTAATAATAAAGTTTTTGTTGCTTTTATATATTTAATCCGAATCTACTAGCTCCATCATCTTCAGACTACTTTGTGCGCTATTTACCCGGTCTTCCTGATCATGCTGATCTCAAAATGCATGCTGGGTAAGTCCTCTTTTTTTCTTTTTTCTTTCTTTTTTTTAAATGAGATTAATAAATTTCTAATAATTACCATTATAGACATATCACAATTGACAGAAACACTAATTCTAACATATTCTTTTGGCTAATGCACAATCGTCATATTGCCGACAAACCAAAATTAGTAAGTTAATTGGATGGGTCTTTTTTTCGATTAAACAATGTGTACATAAACTTATTTTCAAAATCCGAATTCTTGTTAGATTATATGGCTTAATGGTGGTAAGTTTTTGGATTAAATTGTATAATATATTCATAAGATTCGAAATTAGTTCGAAATTAGTTCGAAATTAATTACAATTTTTTGATTTAAAGGACCCGGATGGTTAGTTAAAAAATGATATATCAAGAAATTTAATCATATATCAATACCCAACTATTCTGACAATCATATATTAACTCAATTTCTGAAATTATATATTAATACACAACCCTTTTGATATTGCATCATTTAGTTCGAGGTAATTGATTGTTTATTTGATCTTTTGGTCGCTGGAATTTAGTGTTTATTAAACTAAATTTAATTCCTAAATTTAATTACTAATATTAATTACTAATATTAATTACTAATATTAATTACTAATTTTAATTTTAAAGTATGGATGGTGTGTTTCTTGAATCTGGTCCCTGGAGAATAAATAAAAACCAGACATTAAGTTTGATCGATGGTGCATGGAACGAGTATGCTAATGTGCTTTATGGTAATTATAATTTAATCAATTTCGCGAGTTAACTGGTTTTTATTACAACAAATCTGATTTATTTTATAGTTGATCAGCCTATTGGGACAGGCTTCAGTTTTGCGAATAGTAATAGTTATTTAAGTAACGTAACACAGGTTAGAATACTATTATTACACCGTCATTGGTTTACAATTTGATGTGCAAATATTAATTTCTTTTCTTCTTTAGATTCCTGGTCAATTTTTACTATTCCTTGATAAATTTTTTGAAATATTTCCTGAATATGTTAAAGATGAAGTATGTTAAAAGTATTCTTCTATTAGTTAATTAAAATAATAACTGGTTTCTTACATTTTTGCTTCATAAACTCAAGATGTATCTTACCGGTGAAAGTTTTGCGGGTACATTTATACCTTATATAGCTTCAGCTGTCTTAAAGCGTAATAGTGAAAGAAAAAGTTCCGTTAATCTAAGAGTAAGAAAGATGCTATATTATATGTCTATTTATATTCGTAATTGTCTTGCTTATATTAATGCAAAATTTATTGTATTATTAAGTACAATCTCAAAGGAATAGCTATTGGTAATGGATGGATCGATCCTATCGCACAAGTATGATGTATATATATTATTAGTTTTTTATAATTATTTGTGATTTTTTCCCTAACTATAAGCATAATGTTAGTACAATGCATATTATACCTTTGCTTTAGAACATAATCTCTTAGATGAAGAACATAAGGTATATGATGAAGTTAGTGTATTGATTAAATTGAGAATTACAATGACTTTATATTTTATTATGTACAGACTCTTACCAAGAATCAGCTTGATATTTGCATGAAAGCTCAAAAAGAAAAGGTCAGAATTCATTCAGATGTGTGTGAGCAAATTCTTCTATTGATTTTGAAAAGTTCACGTAATCGGTATTTATTGTTCTTTGTTTTATTGCTTGATTGTATAAATTGTTTCTGTACATGTTGAATATTTTTTTTTTTTTTTTCTCTAGCGTTGGAAAAAAAGAAACTTGCATAAATCAATATGATATTCGAGACCATTCTGATTCATATCCTTCATGTGGAATGTCATGGCCTTATGAACTTGATACTGTTTCTACATACTTGCGGGTAACTAAGCAACCTACAATAAATAGTTTTATTCTAATATTTAGTCATTAAATTCAATTCTGGTAACTATTTATGGTTTTCTAGCGTTCTGATGTTATCGGAGCTATTCATGCTAGTGCTCAACAAATTGGCTGGATAGAATGTAATAATGGTGTAGGTCGTGGCTTTAATAATGATCCAAGTCCACCTTCAGTTCAGGTACGTAAATGGGTTTCTTGAATTAATTATAATTTAATACCAATATTAAATACATTTCGTATATATAATACTACTATTAGTTATTGCCTTCTATTCTAAAACAAATTGATGTTTTATTGTACACGTATGTTATATGCATAATATTTTACAATATGTTACATTTCATATTTTATTTGTTTTAATTGTTTATCCATCTGAATTTCAATAGCGGAGATCAAGATCTCATTTGTAACCGAAACGGTATAGAAGATTTGATAAAGGGACTGGAATGGAATGGTGCTAAAGGTTTTCAGGTTGATTTCTTTGCTTTTGATGCCTAATATTTTATACATTGTTACAATTTATTTATTTATTTGTCGTATTATTGTACACAGAATCTTACCGAAACCCCCTGGTTTGTCAATGATAAGCGTGCTGGGCATATGATATCAGAACGAAATCTCACATATGTAGTAGTTAATAATGCTAGTCATATGGTACCTTATGACCAACCGGGTGCTAGTATGGCCATGATGTATTGGTTTATTGGGCTAGATAAACATATTACAACAAAATTTTCATCCAAATTTGGATATGGGGTAAAAATTCTATTTTATTAACTTTGTAAATAATGTCATCTGATATGTTAAATTTTTATTTATAAGAATTTCTTTACTATTTTCTAGTTAGATACCAACGTTGCTACAACTCCGAGCGCAAATGGCACAATTTACAATGATTGGGATGGTGATGTATTGAATCGATATTACAATGCGTAAGTCTTCAATTTATTGTCATTTAAATAAACTTCACAATAATTATTAATTTTTTGTTTAAAAAACATCAGGGGAACTGCTACACTTATCGTCGTTATTTGTGGTGTCATTGCTTTGGCTGTCTTTGTATTTCGTGGAAGGTTTAGACGTAGGAAAAGTGTTAGCCAAGCAATGAAAGCCGCTGTAGAAAGTTCAGACAGTGAAATGTACGTAGAATTCTATTTTTGATCTTTTATAGTACTGTATAATTATTATATCGATAATATTCATATTAAAAAATTACTATCAATAAAAACAGGGCGGAACTTGTTATCGAAACTCCACTAAATTCGGAGGATATTGATCATTTTGGGGATAGTGATGAAGAGGAAGATCGTAATCATGATCATGATAGGTTACCTCTCAATTCTAGAACGCACAAAAATCAATAAGATTGATATGGTATTTTTAGAGATAATATTGAAAGGATGAGATTAATATTAAAGGATGATGATTAATTAATCTTTTAGACAACAAATTTGATAATTAATCTATTCAAAAATGAGGAAAAAAAAAATTACGTATAGTTTTTATTTAATTAATATAGATATATTTTTTTTTCCTATGGTGTTATATTGGAGATTAAATAAAAATAAGTGTATATATATTACAGTATATAAATTTAATTTTAATTATCGATATTTATATTGCTATCGTCTTGCTGTTGTTATGACGATTTCTTTAATTCACAATAGAAATTTTATCAGTTATTTACTAATATTTTTACATATTGTATAACAGCGATCCTTTAAGTAAAAAAATGGAACTCGTGTAGTGGCATTTATGGCATCCTTTTTTAGTAAATTGTTCGTTATAATTAGTGATGTTCGGTCAGAGGCCTTTGACTGACCGGTTAAAAATCTAACCGATAATAAAATTAATTCATTCAAAAGTACGCATCCCTTTATCATGTAAGAAGTTGATATATATGGAGGATGAATAGCTGAATCCAATTTATGTTTCTTGAATTCGAATCAGATTTATCGATTAGAGTAATAGTACTCAATAGGATACCAATAAGGTACCAATAGGATATCAATAGGGTCAATAAGGTTTTTACTGATTGTAACTATTGAGTTAATAGTCACTGATCGAGACCAATAGTTATCAATAGGGTACCAATAGGGTCAATAGGGGTTTCGAAAAAAAATCGTTCAAATATTATTAAAAACTGATTTTAAACTTTAACAAGATAACAGTTGTAAGTTATCTTAAAATAATAATAATAATAATAGTATTATTAATATTAAATTATCTCCTAATTTTAGAATCCTGATAATAATGGATGGAACAATCCTGAATCTCAGGCAAAAGCTTTTCATGAAGCTGCTGATATTGGTTCGATTATAATAACTAAATGGTCATGCAAAGGGTGGCGAGGCTATATAAACGTAAGGCACTGGTATGAATTTATATTGTGCTCAAAAACACAAAGCGCTTCTTGTTTTTTACGCTTTTCTTTTATTTTTATTGGCACCAGTGAACATATTCATGATTTGGAAAGATTTGAACCTAGGCCTATAGGACTTGATGGTTAAAAAGGGCGTTCCTTTCGTACCAGTATTATCGAAATGAACTTAGCACGATTTGTACAAAAATGCTGGGTTAGTTTGGTCTTTTATTTTTTTGAATTCTCTACCATAATTGTATTTATTTATTTTTACATTAATAAATTTATATATTAATAAGATTGTCTTTTAAACGATTTTTATTTTATTTATTTAAAGTATCGCATTACAAATTAAGTTTTTTACATTTCATAATGTAGTTATTTCGTAATACAAAAATTTTTTAAAAAAAATATCACTTTTTTTTTTTTATTAATTTAATAAAAGTTTGAGATACTTAGTTTTAGAGATTGTCTCTCTTACTTGTCCTAACCACCGCGAAGTGTATCTCATTGGTTGAGAAGGTCATAACAGAGGAGTAGGCGTTGAGACGCACCCGATCATTTTTCGGGTATAGTTTTATTTTTTAAAAAAAAATTAAATGCCGCCTAACGTATTATACTCCAACCATTCTCTCCTGCGCCTCCCATACAGCAGGAGTAGGTTGTTCTTCACAGAAACGAAGCATTTACTTACCGGTAGTTTGCCAACAAAAACCTCTCTGCCCAGATTTTTTAACTGCTCAACCGGCTCCTCATACAGAACCAGTATATCTTGGCGCAGAGAAGGTAAAAAAGCTGAACATCATGGAGGGGAGAGAGAGGGGGAGAGAGAGGGAGAGGGGCTCACACAGCGCTTCCAATGTACAGGGAAACACAAGCAAAATTCCCGGAAAATCATTTTTACTAATTAATCTATTTATACCAAGAAATTATCCGAAACAAAACAAATAGATCGCCTGGTGCGATACAAACATAAAACCAGAAAA